AAAAACTATTATTCCTACAAATATTAGAGTAGTCTCCCTTGACAGTTGCTATTCGAATGTATTTTGTGTTAATTTTCGTTATGAAATACAGTTGACTTTTTAAATAAATTATATAAGAAAACAATCTATCTCTGTGTATATTTATTTTAAAAAATATTATTACAATAATTAGAATAGGTGTTACTGGTTAAATAGCAATTATTCTCATTCTAAATCTTTGGCTATCGAGTTTCATGGGTTTTTAAATTTAAGATTATGAACACATTGGCTTGACGAAAATGATTATATACACTTAAATACATACTAAAATTTACTTTTGTTAATAAACCTACACTATTTTATGCACACATACAAAAAAGAATATTTTAGCGGCAGTTACAACGTCAAAAAAAAAGGAAACTCCTTTATACTGAATAGTTCTACGTAACAACAAAAATGTAAAAATACATAGTCCTAAAGCACACTAACACATACATATATACATACGAAGTATGTGTGTAAGTAGGATGTGAGGTGTGTAGACAGGCGGGGTGGAAGGAAAGCAGTTGGGCAGGAATAACGGTAGGTAGGAAAGTAGGTAGGCAGGCAGCAGCGCAGGCAGGTTAGTAGATAGGTAGGTACGTAGGCAGGGAGTTAGGTATGTAGGTAGATAGGCGTAGGTAGGAAGGCGCCTCACTCGGTATAGTGAGCGATTATAGTAGCCCGTCATATTCATAGCGTTTCGCAATTATTAAAACGAACAAAGGTACCATAGTACTCACGGGAAAACCCGGGGAGCTAAATGGAACCCTGCCAAGGCGCCACCAAATCGATTTTTTTTTCGTAGAAACCACCACAGGGGTATTAGCATTAACTTCTCAAATTTGAATGACAAACGAATGAAATCTTTGATAATGCTTAAACAAACAAACCCACATATTCGTTTTTGGGGCGCGGGTTTGTCCACACTGCCGCCTAGACGCACCAAGGCTCACTGTATGAAAGCCTTGAGTGTACGTTAATCAACCTCTGTAATAGTGAGGTAGAACACACATTGGCGACCGCCCATGGGTTAGAGACGCGTCCCTTGGCGCTCCAGGGAGCCACTGGTTATATTTCCGCAGGGGCGCCCCTAATTCGGTTCAATTATAAAATGTCGTGTGCCACCGTGTCCCTATTGTAGGGCGCTCTTTAAGGAGGCACTCTCTGTAGAGCCCGGGGCGCTCGCTGTCGCCAACTGCCAGGGCGCCGGCGGGCGCTCATTATTCTACTTAGTGAACATTTATAGTAGCCCATCTAAACCGTAGTGTCGCCCGAGATGGGTCTTGGTCGCTCTGGGCCACTCAACCGCCGGGGAGCTGGCGGATGAACCTGGTGTAGTTTTATCACTGAATCTCAGAGGCGTAGCACCATTCCTGGCGCCTAGGGACAAATTTTCAATTTGGCGCCCCCCCCCCCCCTCCCGCTGGAGACAAACTTTCAATTTGGCGCCCCCTCCCTGTATTTTTTAAATATTTATAATGCAAAACTATAGCTAAAATGAGCTTTTAAATTTTTCCAACCATTTTGGCGCCCCTAGGGTTGGCGCCCGGGGACATATGTACCCCCGCCCCCCCCCCCTCACTGCGCCTCTGCTGAATCTAGTATTACCTATGACCGCAATTGATGAGATAGCCCCTCTGGATTCCCCTCTGGATTCTGAGCTCATAATCGTATAATTAGAAAAATCGAACCCTCCCAGGGTGCCACACTTAAGAATTTTTTTCTTTCTCGAAACCCTTTTCACCAACTACCCAAAATTTTATGACTCTCGTACGAACAGTGTCAAATTGCATCTGGCTTTTATTTTTATGGAGAAAAATTGCATTGCTTCCTGTCAGAGACCCCAGATCGAATAGGGCGCCAAAAGGGGTAGACAATTTTTTAAAAAATCCTCATTCTTCAGTAAAATTTAAGAAAACAGATTTATACATGGCTGATATCCTCAATTATTTTATATAGGGGAGTGTATGTAGGGATGGGCGCCTTTTTGCCAGCGTTTGAATAGGGTTGGCACATAATTGATAGTTCGCCCCGGCTGCCGGAATAGCTTGCTACGCTTCTGCTTCCTGCTAGGGTGCCGCCCTGGCGAAATCTTTCCGGGGGGGGGGGGCGTGCGGACACTGTTAAAAGTATTTTTTTCTATATAAATTCCGTTTCGTTCGGGGGTGGGGGGGGGGTCGATAGACTTTTTTCTTCGGGGGGTGGGGGGGCTCTGCTTCCCCCCCCCCCCCCCCCCCCCCTCCCCTCCGAATAGATTCCTGGAAAAAACTCTGTTCACAAAGTTTTATGGCGATCCGATGAAAAAGATGTAGTAATTCATATAGGACAAACAGATAATTATACTTTCATTTCTATAAATATAAATAGATATATAGGGCCTACTTTAACTAGTGTCCGCATACCCGCACCCGGAAACTTAGTCGCAATTTTCTTTGTTACATTTGAACCCTTTAGGTTAATCAATATTAACAAAATTGAACAAGATGCAACAAATACAGTTAACCAAGAAATTGAACAAATAAAATTCACGTTATCTTTTTATTGTTTTTAGATATAGAGTAGTAACAGACTACCTACAGGTCCTAACTCGCGACGAGGTACACATTTGTATTAAAACACACATCTAAGACATTTTCCATTTAGGTGGGTTTTGCAGTACAGTGGTTTCTTAAGTCGTGGACAAGTGATTGCGCTTATCTCTGTTGAGTTGCTATGTATTCTGTCCTATATTAGACAAATTTGTAAATATCTGTCACAATATGGGCATAGAGATGATATAACGATAGCTTATCTTTGCGGACGACGCTAAACTTTGGCATCGACACCACGGCCTACAAGTTCAAATTCGGTCCTTCAGAAATGTTTGAAGTCTTTAGATTAAAACTACTTTTCTCTTTTATGTACCTACTGACCACATCACATGCATTTGTTCTGAAAGTCTAAAAACAGAGGCACAAATATATCGTCTAGACTTGTGAGGTCTACAGATTAGGTATTTTGGCAGTTATCTAAGCCCTTGCCTGTTCTGACTCAAAGCCTTATTCTTTCTCTATCGACGCCTTGCGTAACATGGGATTGGGTTTTTAAGGCGACATAAAGCTTTATGTTGTTCCTTTTTAAGTACACTAGATTAAAAACTAACGTTTTCAGATGCCTAAAGATGTTTAACCACTAATTAATCAGAATAATGGGTCAAGATTTCAATTCTTGGTTTTGGGACACGTTAGTTGCCGGGGTTGAGCTAATGTCGATAGCATAAGGACTGTACCTTGATGCGGGCGTTTTATTTGTTGCCCATCGTAATAATTGAATGGTTGATGGGGCTTCTTCAAGGGTTTGATTTGCCGTAATGTTAATGATATCATGCATGTGCGGCTTTTCTAAGAAGAAAATGCGTTTAAACACTTTTTAGTTATGCTTTTTTTTAAATAGGCCTATATTTTACGACATCATAATCGTAATGAACAATAAAATGAATTTAAACAACTTTAGAATACACCTGTTTCGGCTAACATGAATGTTATTCTTCAAACTAGTAATGTTAAACGTGTCTTTTTCGCATTTTCGACTTATAAGCAATACAGTAAATTCCGATAACGTCCATATGCATACAAGCAATGGCGTAGGCGAGGAGGGGTTTAATAGTGATTTAATAATGATACTTTCTTAACCCTATACTCAGTGGCGTAGCGAGGTCGGGTGTCACCCGGTGCGGCACTTAATGTCACCCCTCCCCAGAGGCATAGAGACCCTTCCCAGGGACAAACTTTCAAATTTTCGATTTGCACCCCCCCTCAAACTTTCGATTTGCACCCTCCCCCTCGAGTTTTTCTCTGTATATTTTGCTATTTTTTTGCCTTGGTGTCACCCCCCTAAATGGTGTCACCCGGTGCGGTCCGCACACCCCCACACCCGCGCTACGCCCCTGCCTCTACTGGACATCATGTTAGGTACCTTGCCCCCGGCAACTGGGTGGATTTGGATTACACCCAAGTTTTACTTCATAGTAAATGGCTTCAGTTTTAATTATTGGAGTTGGTAGCAACATTGACACACTTGAAATCACATTAATTAGTATATAATTTACCATTACTAACAATAGGCCCTACTTAATTGTTTAATGTTGCTGGATATTAAGCCTGGTAGGTATTTATGTTTATTAATTTGTACAGAAACAAAAAAAGGATTCCCAAACAAAGTTTTATTTTTCAGAAATAAAGAAAATGATACAAATCAATAAAGAACAGTTTTCAAAATAATTTGTATAAAAGTAATTATTATAAAATAAGAATATAGCATTGCATAGATAAAAATAAAATACTTGACACAAACAATATGAGGGATATTTTTTATCAGAGAAGAGAAAAATATATGATGTAGTTTGAAAATAATAATGTACAGAATGTAGCTTTTTCAGATTAAAATGAAAATTCTCATGCCTATATAATTTATTGAGTAAATGAAGCAAGACCCAAAACAATAGGCTAAATAATATGCATGGGACAGGCATTGAAAACTACAAATTGCATATAGTGAAGGTTACCCTATTTATTGGCTATATCCACAGTAAAGATTTATGGCTTTATTACCTGCTTGTAAAATTGTTAAGGAAAAAGTAAAGTATTGTTAACTTTTTATGGCAGACCAACTACGGGCTTTGTTCTGGGAACATGTAATCTGTAAGGGGCATTGTTCTCGGCACATGTTGTCATTTTTTGTGTTCTCGGCACATGTTGCCATTTTGTGTGTTCTGGGAACATGTTGCCATTTTGTGTGTTCTGGGCACATAATGACATTTTGTGTGTTCTGGGAACATGTTGCCTGTTTGTGAGCTATGGAACATGTTGACATTATTTGGCTGTGTTCTGGGAACATGTTGCCATTTTGTGTGTTCTGGGAACATGTTGCTATTTGGTGAGTTCATGGAACATGTTGACATTATTTGGCTGTGTTCTGGGAACATGTTGTCATTTTGTGTGTTCTGGGAACATGTTGCCATTTTGTGTGTTCTGGGAACATGTTGACATTATGTGGCTGTGTTCTGGGAACATGTTGACATTATGTGGCTGTGTTCTGGGAACATGTTGACATTATGTGGCTGTGTTCTGGGAACATGTTGACATTATGTGGCTGTGTTCTGGGAACATGTTTGTTTCATTTTTAAATATTATAATAAAACATTTTTAGAAATTCTATATTAGGAATTGTGTATATATATAAATTTATATATTTAATAAGACAATTGGATGAATTATAATAAACAGCATAAATGATTCAAATAAGTTTAGAAGTATTTGGCTTGCTGTCCTAACAGTGAACTGTATTGCGAGCTTGTTTCCCTAGTGATAACCCATGTTTTTTGTGCGACCCTTCCAATCAAGTATCCAGCTTTTTCTTGGCCTGTATCAAAATGCTGGTCAGACTTGCTTGACTTGTGTATCACAATATGATTTTGAATGTTTTTCTGTAAATGAAATAAAGGCAAAATATTTTGATACTTTCTTTTGTGGAACTTGCAAGAAAAATAAATTACAAATTTATATTACTATCTCTAATATTTCTTTACTATAACTAATTACTTTGAAAAGATAAAGTACTGAACATGATGAATAACAAGAAACAAACATTATCAGCAAAGATTATAGATTTAAAATTGTGTTCATTCATATTGAAGATTAATGAAGTAGACTATCAATATTTACCCTCTTGATGGCTGATACTTTGATTTGATGTCTTTACTTTAAGCTTACACATCAGTCTCTGTGTGGTAAAATATGAAATAATATGCTTCAATAAAACTGTTTCAGTATATTAATTATATTAGATAAGTACATAGTATTGAGCTCTATAACAATATGTGTTTCAATTATCATTCAAATATAATACCCTCTATGTTGTACACTCACTGATTTATTAGAATTTAAAAAAAGACAATAATTAATAAAATATTTTGGATTAAAATCCATTATATTTATTATAACATACAATGCTATCTCTTGCTATAATAATTACTTTAAAAAATGGGTTATGCCTATAGTACAGTTACCTGAGGATGAAACTAGGCACAGTGTATAGTCCACGGAGACTGATTAATATCCCTTGTAATTGAAATCAGTTGTAGTTATGAAATCTGGATGGCCAAACACACACTCATAGTCCTGAAAAGCAATTTACACATAGATTAGCAAGAATATCTCACAAATTATTAAATTAAAGCTAACCCCTATTTAGTGCAATCCATCAAAGTAGTAGCATTTTTCGTTAAGTTGTAGACACAATACAAAGTAATGTTTGGTCTGTGATTTACATACTTTTATAAAATAGCAATCAAATTATATATATATATATATATATATATATATATATATATATATATATATATATATATATATATATATTCATTGTAAATTTTAGCTATGTCTTGCTATTAAATTTATTTACTCGACTGATCTAAACTCACTTTATTTAAACATAATATAGTGGATAAGTATAGTGATTTTATTATTCAGCAATAAATAGCAGCCCTAAAAAAATTTAAATAGTAACGTTTGCGAATGAACACATTAAATTCTATGTATTTCCATTTCTATGTCTTTCCCAACTTGATGCATATTACTAACCAAGCATTAAACTATAGTCCTAAACCTGACTCTAATTACCATTTATTGGACAACCTGAACCTTTGCGATACCATGTTATAATATATTATTTTAAAAAAGAGCTTACCACTAATTAGTAAAATCAATTTTTTTTAGTATTAACTGAGCCGCATACTATCTGCTGCTATTGTCATCACCAGAAATCCAGTATGTTGGCAAAGATTAGTCTCTAAGTTCCCTGCAACCTCTTTCCTCTCGAGTGCGGAAAACACTGAAATCATTAATCATTATTTCATTATGCCTAATAGTTTAAAGGTACTATTAAAGAAGTACTAAATAGTACGAGTCTAAGTTACTATAGGTCTAATGATAATTATTATTGTGTATGCTTACATGCTTTAAGTTTTATGCACAATATTGGTATATAATATATAGTCTATAGTATATAGCCTAAGCTATAGAGTATATAGGCCTATGAGCCTAAATATAACAGCAGCTTGAATAATGCTCATTAGCATGCATTCACTATAAACTATAAAGATAATCAAATATTTCAATTTAATTAAATTATAACTAATAGGCCTAATAGTAAATAGGCTTTTTTCTTGTGGCAACAAATTTAAAGTATAGGGCAGTACAGTTATAGTATAAGTATAGGCCTACTAGATTCTATATTTAAGTATGTGGGCTTTTCATTCCAATGCACCACAATAGATACCACACATGATCAAGCTGGAGCTCTGATCTAAAGATTTAATAATTGGGCCTAACAAACAGTGAAACTACAATAAAAATCATGTAAATTACTAATTTAACCTTCTTACCTCCGCTTCTCTATATTCCTATTCTATTTCCTTCAAACTTTCTTTTTATGCAGCCGTATGATTAGATTCTAGACTATATTCTAATAAACATGAAATAACTACTAACCAGAACACTAGATCTAAATTTCTATATTCTATGCAATATGTATTAAACCTATAGGCCTAATATTTATTTTAAATTCCTATGCGATGTGTCGTGAACTGTAGGTTTCATGTTATTTTTTTAATGGCGGAAATCAGTTTAAAATTTCGTTTCCTTCCTTTTGTTATTCTATTTATAGATTCAAACTGCTTAGAGACGGAGCAATTATCATTGAGTAAGTCGGCTGATCCACACAGGAAGTGCGGGTATATCTATTAGTTACTCAGTGATCTGATCATTGACAAAAACAGAGATAGCCATTCGCATGGGGTGCTCTCTCTCTCTCTCTCTCTCTCTCTCTCTCTCTCTCTTATGCACTTGTATGTAAATGTTGTTGTTGTAAAATTCTAAAATGTTACTACCGTCTTATGCTCTCACACACATGTTGATGATCTTTTGTTTAGTTGTATAAAAAAAATTAAAAGAAAAGAAACTTAAAAGAAAAAGTAAAGAACTAAAGAAAACAATCTTGAATAAAGTGGTTCCAAAAAAAAAAAAACAATGAAAAAGTTTCCTAGGATTGAGAGCGAAATAAATTCATAGTTTAATTACTTAAGGATCAAAGCCCAATCAATGTGTATAGTTAATGCATTTAAATAAAGCCGATCTCAGAAAAGTGTATTTTCCCTTTGTAAAAATGCCCTTTAATTTAAAAAAAAATTGTTTCACAGTGTTAAAAAGCAGACAAAAATGTTTAAAAAATTCCTGTATTAAGATGACATTTAAATCACGTTTGGATTTTTTGAATTAAAAAAAAAAACATTTTTAATGCGAATAGTTTCCAATTATTTCCTTGTTTTCTGTTCCTATTTAAGGAAAGGCTATTACAGCTAATCAAATGTTGTTCCTATTTGTTATCGAATTTAAAGCTAGAAATAAACTAGAAAAAAAAAACAATGGACGGAATTCTACAGTGGCTGCTAAAGAACAATTTTTTCCTTGCATTGACATTTTTTTCTCGCTTTAAAGTTTTGCTATTTAGAAAAAAATATTTTTTTTAAGTTCTCAAAAGAGGCCGACCAAGGAAGACCTGGAGACGTGACCTGGAAGAAGACACCAAGGGCAGATACACCTGGGGACTGTTGTAGAGACTAGCCCAGGACAGATGCTAGATACACCTGGGGACAGTTGTAGAGACTAGCCCAAGACAGAGATTCTAGATACACCTGGGGACTGTTGTAGAGACTAGCCGAGGTGTGAGAGGCTAGATACACCTGGGGAATGTTGTAGAGACTAGCCCAGGACAGATGCTAGATACACCTGGGGACAGTTGTAGAGACTAGCCCAAGACAGATGCTAGATACACCTGGGGACAGTTGTAGAGACTAGCCCAGGTGTGAGAGGCTAGATACACCTGGGGACTGTTGTAGAGACTAGCCCAGGACAGATGCTAGATACACCTGGGGACAGTTGTAGAGACTAGCCGAGGTCTGAGAGGCTAGATACACCTGGGGACTGTTGTAGAGACTAGCCCAGGACAGATGCTAGATACACCTGGGGACAGTTGTAGAGACTAGCCCAAGACAGATGCTAGATACACCTGGGGACAGTTGTAGAGACTAGCCCAAGACAGATGCTAGATACACCTGGGGACAGTTGTAGAGACTAGCCCAGGTGTGAGAGGCTAGATACACCTGGGGACTGTTGTAGAGACTAGCCGAGGTGTGAGAGGCTAGATACACCTGGGGACTGTTGTAGAGACTAGCCCAGGACAGATGCTAGATACACCTGGGGACAGTTGTAGAGACTAGCCGAGGTCTGAGAGGCTAGATACTAAATGGAGGAGAAGTGCATATTGATGTGGCTTTAACATTGGATGCAACAAAGTAAAGGTACAACAAACAAATATCTAAAAGGAGTTCATTCCAGCTTCACATAAAAACTATTGTCTAGTCTTGCTCTACAGGGGACACTGTCTATCCAAACTCTACGAGAAACAATGTCTAGACCAACTCTACAAGGAACATTGTCAAGACCCTCCCTACAAGGAACAATGTCTAGACCATCTCTACAAGGAACAATGTCTAGACCAACTCTACAAGGAACAATGTCTAGACCAACTCTACAAGGAACAATGTCTAGACCAACTCTACAAGGAACAATGTCTAGACCAACTCTACAAGGAACAATGTCTAGACCAACTCTACAAGGAACAATGTCTAGACCAACTCTACAAGGAACAATGTCTAGACCAACTCTACAAGGAACAATGTCTAGACCAACTCTACAAGGAACAATGTCTAACCCTTTTGTCCGGAGTCATAAATTTGGTGCCAAAAAGAATCATTTCGGTCGTTCAATGCTTGATCCAGCAGTCACTCTGTACACATTGAAGTTAAAAATTTTAAGATATCTCCAAATGTAGCCTGACATTATCCTACGCTAACTGTTTGTCTTAGGGTAAATCTTCACAAGAAGAATGTAGCTAAACATCTAAGAGTAGATTGTTTTCTTTAGCGGGTTTAAAAAATAAACATCAGTGAAAAGCCCCGCAAGCCAAAAATCATATATCACATTTTAAATTCTCAAATTAATCATGAATGCTATAAAAGTTCAGACATGAATGATATAAAAGTTAAGACATGCATGATATGAAAGTTCAGATACGAATGCGAGAAAAGTTCAGAAACAAATGAATGAAAAATTCTGCCACTTGCATCTGTGCAAGATCTGAAATCTGCTGATCCAACTGAAGTTTAATTTTTGCCATGTGGAAACTGGGCTCAGTTCTCATCAAGCTAATGGCAACTTGGATTTTTTTTTAAACTTTTCTTCTAAATTCCACTTCTTTTGTGCAGGCGTTTCTTTTTAGCTTTCCCTTTTTAAAAAGGAAAAATTAAACTCGGGAAATTATTATAATAATCAAACAATTTTTTTTAAAGAATAATCTATATTGTTTTCTGCATCACCCAGAAGCAAAAGCTGCCTTATATAACTAAACACAAACTCTATCGTCATTACTTTTTAATAAATGTTGATCCGGTAAATTAGTAACCTCACAATATTGAAATGGTAAAATGACAGCATATCAATAATCTCAGCCATCAAATCTGCGAACTGTTACATAACACAGCTCAAAATTATACTACGTACAACATTTATTACATTTTCTACACATAACACCGAAATAAATCATGTTCCATACGCTACAATACCTGAACAGAAAACACGTAATTTTGACATGGTAATTTCTTTTTAAAACTGCATAATTATAGGTACATACAGTTTGCTAATATGAAGATATAAGCTATTCTTACCTCTAACTAGATATGGCCACTCAAACGAGTAAAGTTTTTAAATCAAATAATTAATGTCATCCCCTGTATACAGTCCATGGTCAGTTATTTGACGGTTCTACTGTAAATATCCTGGGCTAGTAAACGATTACATTTACATTACATTTACATTACATTACAGTTAAACTCAGCCTCAAGTCACGTGCACTAAGTGGATTCATATATCTCACGTGACGTGGTTCTCTTTAATTAGCCGTGTCACTACAAAAAAGCGAACAGGGCATGTAGACATTGTGGCAGAACAACAGG